ATAGGGGGCATGGGATTACAAGGGCATCTTCAGATTAGGAGGGCAGAAATGGGGCATGGGATTAGGAGGGCAAAAGGGGGCATGGGACTACAAGGGCATCTTCGGATTAGGAGGGCAGAAATGGGACATGGGATTAGGAGGGCAGAAATGGGGCATGGGTTTAGGAGGGCAAAAGGGGGCATGGGATTACAAGGGCATCTTCAGATTAGGAGGGCAGAAAATGGACAAGGGATTAGAAGGGTTCCAGATTAGGAGGGCATCTTCGGATTAGGAGGGCAGAAATGGGGCATGGGATTAGGAGGGCAAAAGGGGGCATGGGATTACAAGGGCATCTTCCGATTAGGAGGGCAGAAAATGGCCAAGGGATTAGAAGGGTTCCAGATTAGGAGGGCATCTTCGGATTAGGAGGGCAGAAATGGGGCATGGGATTAGGAGGGCAAAAGGGGGGCATGGGATTACAAGGGCATCTTCGGATTAGGAGGGCAGAAATGGGGCATGGGATTAGGAGGGCAAAAGGGGGGCATGGGATTACAAGGGCATCTTCGGATTAGGAGGGCAGAAATGGGGCATGGGATTAGGAGGGCAAAAGGGGGCCATGGGATTACAAGGGCAGATTAGGGGGGCAGAAAGTGGGCAAGGGATTAGAAGGGTTTCAGATTAGGAGGGCATCTTCAGATTAGGAGGGCAGAAATGGGGCTTCAGATTAGGAGGGCAGAAATGGGTCATGGGGATTAGGAGGGCAAAAGGGGGCATGGGATTACAAGGGCAGCTTCAGATTAGGAGGGCAGAAAATGGGCAAGGGATTAGAAGGGTTTCAGATTAGGAGGGCATCTTCAGATTAGCAGGGCAGAAATGGGGCATGGGTTTAGGAGGGCAAAAAGAGACATGGGATTAGGAGGGCACCACTGATCAGGAGGGCTTCAAATTAAGAGGGCACCTTCAGATTAGGAAAGGAGAATGGATACAGAAGGACAGAAAATTTCCTAATCTGCCACACTTGGAAGGGAGCCATTGCCATTTTCTCCTCTCCTTGCAGATGATGCTACGAGATCTGGGACGTTTTATCATGGTTTATCTACTCTTCCACCTGGGATTTTCGACAGGTGAGGGAGGGTCTGCCTGAAGTGGGGAGCGGGGGGGGGTGCGTGGGCAGGAAGGAGGAAGAGGCAAGAGCAGGGGTGGGATTCAAAAATTTTAGGAACCGGTTTCCTGCCTGGTTGCTGGGTGGGCGTGGCCATGGTGGGCGTGGCCTACTCGGCCTCCAGCACCGTGGGAAGGAGCATTTTCACCCTCCCCAGGCTCTGAAGGTTTTCTTCAAGCCCCCGGGAGGGGGAAAAAGCCCTCCCCCAGTCTCCAGAGACCCTCCGAAGGCTGGAAACCGGCCCGCTTCTAGAACCTCTGGGAGGCTCATTTTTTGCTCTCCCAGAGCCTCTGTGCGAGTCCTGCACTTACCTGGCATCCAAAACGGGCCATGTGGAGACGCCTGGGAGGGGAGGGGAGGGGTGGGCGCGGCCAGCCAGTCCTTGAAACTACAGGTTCGGAGAACCAGATGTAAAATTAGCATCCGGTTCACTTGAACTGGTCTGAACTGGCTGAATCCCGCCCCTGGGCAAGAGCCACACCAGGTCAGTGCAGTCACTCTACATGACCTCTGAGGTGCCTTCCGATGCTCACCCGTACATCTTTTGCCTTCTTTCCCGCCACCATGATATGTTCCCCTTTGTGACAGCGGTGGTGACCCTTATTGAGGAAGACGATGGGCGTCCAGAGACCTCTCCGCCGCCGGATGTCTGCCCGTGTCCCGTGAAGGCCCGCCCATCCTACAACAATCTCTACACCACCTGCCTGGAGCTCTTCAAGTTCACCATCGGGATGGGCGACCTGGAGTTCACCGAGAACTACCGCTTCAAGTCCGTCTTCATCATCCTCTTGCTCTTCTACGTGGTCCTCACCTACATCCTTCTCCTGAACATGCTGATCGCCCTCATGGGAGAAACCGTCAACAGGATCGCGCAGGAGAGCAAAAGTATTTGGAAGCTGCAGGTGGGTTGTTCTTCCCCCCCATCCCACCCCACTCCAGGGTCCGGTTCCGGGGTTTGGGGAAGAGGGGCGATTGTAGGTCACACAAAAGATTTCTGAGGGAGGAGGAGGAAGGCTTAAGGGTGCTGTGGATGTGTCTTGGTTTGGAGCTTGTCGGGCGCATATTTCCCATCTCTGGCGGTTTCCAGAAAGGATGGGGAGTTTGTATATTTTATTATATTATTTATTATATTATTTATTTTATTATTTTATTTATTTTATTTATTTTATTTATTTTATTTAGTTTATTTAGTTTATTTAGTTTATTATTTATTTTATTTATTTTATTTATTTTATTTTATTTATTTAGTTTATTTAGTTTATTTAGTTTATTTAGTTTATTTAGTTTATTTAGTTTTTTTTTTAATTTTTAATAAGATTTTATTGGTAAAACGAAAATACAACATCCATAACTTGTAAAAAACAAGACAACTACATTTCGAGATATTCCNTGCTATTGTATTGTATTGTATTGTATTGTATTGTATTGTATTGTATTGTATTGTATTGTATTGTATTGTATTGTAACCAGCGGAACTACTTGTCACCAGAATTTGTGAATACTCCAACAATGGAAGTTTTTAAGAAGAGGCTGGACAATCCTTTGTCTGAAATGGTATAGGGCCATGATGTTGAACCTTTTCGGCATTGAGGGCTAAAAAGAGAGTGTGCACACACACATGCACGCCACCAAGTGCCGAAAAGGGAGTCCTTCTCTCACACGCTTGTCTGGACCACAACCAGGAAGAGGAGCTGCACAGGGGACATGCGCGCACTGAAAAACGGACTTCTAGTTTCCGGCATGCGCATGTGCACCAGCCAGAAAGTCTTCTGGTTATTGATGCGCATGCACAAGTGCCAATCAGCTGGCCAGCACACATGCTGACCCTGGAAAACAGAAGATCAGCTTTTCCGGTTTCCGGCACTGCCACAAGCAACAAAGGATACCTGATCATCACGCGCACATGTGCGGTAGAAACGTGGAAATGGAAAAGGTGACTGCGCATGAGCCAGGTGACATGGCTCCATGTGCCACTTTGGGCATGCGTGCCATAGGTTTGCCGTCATGGGTATAGGGTTCTCCTGCTCAAGCAGAGGGTTGGACTAGTCTAGAAGACCTCCAAAGTCCCTTCCAGCTCTATTATTCTCTGTTTTATGTTGAAGCTCAGAGATCAGTGATTTTTCCGTTCGGTGATATGCCTGGATTTTCACACTGTGCCTCTGCTTGCTCTCCGTTCACAGCCTCCGTTCACTTTTCATCACACGAGCAGTGAGTACTTCCGGGTCACCGGGGAAATCCTGAGCGTGTTGGGAGGCGCCTACTTCTTCTTCCGAGGGGTACGAGTTTGGACCAGCCCCCCCCTCCCCAGTAGGCCCCTCTCCACCCTCGTCCACCCATCCAGTTCCGGTCAGGTGCAGAGGTGCAAAGACAAAAGATGACCTTGGTTTTCTAGAAAGAATGTTGTTATGGCTACCTATCATCTAACTCCATACAATCCCCACTTCCCATTTTCCCACCATAGAAAAGGCATAGTAAGAATAATAGAAAACGGGGGAGCAAAAAAGAGAGAATGGTGCACGAATTTCTAGGACTCATCCATTCGTGCCTAGGGGATCAAAAGCTCGCAAATATACGTAGTCCTCGACTTACGACGACAACCGAGCCCAACATTTCCATTGTTCAGCGAGATGGTTGTTAAGTGAGTTTGGTCCATTTTTGCAGCCTTTCCTGCCAACGTTGTTAAGCGAATCGCTGCAGTTCTGAAGTTAGTCACGCGGTTGTTAAGTGAATCTGGCTCATGAGACACGGCAACTGTCATAAGTACGAGTTGGATACTGCAAAATCCCCATTCCCTCCTCACTCCGTATCGGTACACTGTCAGCTGCTCCCGGCTCCTACTGGTATATCCGTACCGGGCCGTACTGGCCAGAACCCACCACTGGTCTAGAACCAAGCATGGTACCCTCCTCCCCAATCTAGCAAGAGAGACCCCCCCCTCGCGCACAACTTTGGAAAAGTTACTCATCCTGTTTTCCTTTCTCTTTTTTCCCCCTTGCAGATCAAGTATTTCCAGCAAAGGCGCCCGTCTCTGAAAGCCATATGTACCGAATGCTACAGCGAGCTGCTTTTGTACGTCACTCAGAGACGTGCTTTGCTTTTGGGGGGGGGGGAGCGGGATGATGGGGGTCTCTGAATTTAGCTAGCTTTTTTCCCTTCGGTTCTGTGGAGTCCTTGGTGCTCTCTTGGGGGAGCTTGGGGGGGGGGTCCTTGCAGATGTTTCGCGAACTAGCTGGATAATTCCGTGGCACGACAAAACCGCGCTCGACTAAAGCGCGCCCGATTAAACCGCGTTGCTGACGTCATCAACAGGACGACAACAGCCAGCGTGGAGAAAGAAGGGCGCTTTAAATAGCGCTTTGAAAGCAAGCCGATTCAAGTTAAGGTAAGGGTTAGGTTTAGGGTTAGGTTTAGGGTTAGGTTTAGGGTTAGGTTT